CCCAACATTCGCAGTTAACTTCAATATCTTACGATGGTGTAGAGGCTAAGGACAATGTCTACGGCGCGGACGACCCAGGTTCGAATCTCATAACTATAAGCTTTTTTTAATTAAAATCACGTGACTGAAGGGGGCCGAGGGAGCTGATAGGTTAGGTGGAGTACCAAGGGGGCCGATAGGTTAGGTGAAGTACCGAGGGGGCCGAGGGGCGGAGTTCCACGCTTAAATCGCTACTATACTCGTTCCATCCTGCGTCGATGACGTCACACGTTTCCCCCTCACAGACACCGTCCTGCACCCTCATTGACATTTGACAGTTGCACAGACACCGATCCGTATTGACAGACATCATAAAACCGGCAACTGCGCATACTGCGTCGCATGACAACACCCATATGTCTAGTGTTTACAGTGTCCTTCTTCAACCAATAAATAGTACAGCTAGTGACTCATAGGTGGCGCCAGTGTGGTGTACTCGCGACGATGCATCTGGGTCACGTGACAATTTGGAGCGCTCTGATTGGTGTCGCGTGACCTTGACCATTTTCCATGTTAATCTCCATAAGGAATGAGCCAGAACCGGCCTAGTACCTTTACTAGAATTACATGATGAGATCTAAGTAAAATGAACAAGCTAATTACAAAAAGGTAGGCATATCTAAAGAAAGGAAGAAGGAACTTATGTAAAAATATAGACTATCAAAAAATTGCACGACTTTGAATCCTCCTGAAATAAATGAGCTGATTGAACACTGTTTTTCGGATAGTTCATTGAAAGAGGATGTCTTCATGACATCTCCACAACAACAACTAGGCCAAGGTCTCACTGCATTGGGCGCTGAAATGGGTAAAGTGTAATTGGTTTGTGACAACCCGGAACAAATGTCAAATTAATTGGAAATGTGCATAATGCACTGTCCATCCATAGAAAGTTCAAAATCGATACGTACTTGAACAGCTAATGCAAAAATAGATAGTTAACTTTTCGGAACTAATTTTAGTGACTCTGTAAAAACAACAGAAGCCATCCAAAATCAGCTCAGGCGTTGAGAAACAGACCCTGAACACCCTACACGATAACGCTGCTAAACTACCAGCGATCCCAATTTAAAAAAACAAATGGAGTCGAAAGAAGTAGGAGTTAGTTGCTAAGTGGTGTATATAAATTAGTTGTGATAGTGAAGTATTGTTAAAAATAAATACGTTTAAGACAGTTAATTCTTTAATTCGTTACATAAAATATTAAGTTTACGGATTTCAATGATTTATATGCAGATACATCATTGAATGCATGTGAGGAAATGGATATAACGTTAATGGAAATTTACTATTTAACAACAAGTGAATCTATAACAAATACTTCATTCTATAAAATGTGTAATTCTCCAAAAGAAAACAGCATGAAAGTCACGAGGACAAGACAACGACATTTTCTTGTGGGGTTTTCGTGAGTCGCAGATGTAAGCGAATGAGCCATAAACCACAACGATCCTCAAAGCCAACATAACGCATACCGTCGGTCAAATTCAGCCTGATTTATGCGCCAGAGTCATGGAAAATTGGGCGTTTTGGATGCGCTTCACCCAGAGAAGCCGTGGCGGATATTTGAACGATTCCACATATAATTGCATCAATAGGTCTTTCAAATGAATGAAAAATTTTGCTGATATCGCACACATAATTTGTTTTATTTAAATTTGATGATAGGAAGCGCTCACCGTTCAGTGATAGCCTGGCAAACGTCGTTCTCAAAGAAATATGGACCGATGATACCGTCAGCCCAGAATTACAGTCTTCCAGACTCTATGCAATTTTGCAATGTGCAAGAAATATTAATTTTTGGCCTTAACAAAGTGAGCGTTCAATATTTTCACAGACTGGTAGGGTACTTAGAGTACAGATATATGCCCTGAACTAACAATGCAGTGCCAAAATCTTTGGTACCGAACCTAATTGGGACGTTGGTCTATAAGAAACATTATGAATACTACTAAAATATACCCAGGAACACACACGGGAAAATGGTCAGAAAGAGACTGTCCAAAAAGATAAGTGAAGAACTGCTTCAATGATGCAGAGATCTTGCCTGCAGACAATGCAACAAAGAGACATAAATAGCTAGTCATATTTTAAGCGAATGTGAGTCAATGAATCACAGGAACCAAACAATTTTTGTATTAAATATGTCGAAATGAAATTTCAAATAGAACCTCGCAGAAATCAAACAATTTATGGAAAACCCAGTAAACATGTCCAGAAGAATGTAACAAATATCCAGCAAGGGACTTTTACCGACTAGTACAGATAACAAGATTGGTGGAATGGGTGTCATGAAAAAGATGGGAAAATGAAATAAGCCCATGATACTGCAATGTTTTCAGGAGACTTGAAAGCCATGAAAAAAATAGTGAAAAAGACCACTATGCAATGAATTGCTGAATTATGAGCAAATGAAAAATGTTTTAATAGTGATCGAATAACACGTACAATTTTTATTTCTTCCATTCATTATAGAAAAAAATATTTTCAGGTTATTACGTAATCAATTTTCATGTAATCTGATATGATTTTTTTTCATATTTCAGTTTTGGACAGACTGCTATTTTCTTAATTGGAGGAAAAACTCTAGAAGAAAAACCAACATCATTATTCCTGAGAAGTGGAGATATTATCATAATGAGTAAAGAATCCAGGTTGGCCTACCATGCTGTTCCCAAAATAATACATACCGAAATCACACCTTGGAAAATTAATAACGACTGTACATGGGAAAATGACAATAACGAAATGCAATTTTTAGTAGATGAAAGCGATTGGAAACCCTTCGGTGAATACCTTGAACACTCTAGAATTAATGTTAATGTGAGACAAGTTGTATGATAGCAATTCGATTGAAAATCCAATATTCAGTAAGTGTGAATATTATGTTATAATAAAGAAGATAGAGAGAAACCGTAATGATTCTTAGTGAGTCTGAAATAAGCAGAGTCACATGTGTGTATTATTAAAAAAAAATATAATTGAGGATACTTGATAGACTCTTCTGTTCCTGAATGAAACCTAAGAGATTTCAATAATCCATAAAGGGCAGAAATATTATGTGCTTGCTCAAAGTTCCTAGTTCAGCCATTTATGTGAAAAGCCACCATTTACAAATACTCGAAATACTATGTACATGCTGTTCCACAAGGTATTGACACAATAACACATATATTTCTTTGAAATTTTTTTTGCAAGGACAGAACACAAACACTACAGGAAAATCCTTGAGGCGCTCTCGGTACCTGTGTGAAAGTAGCGATTCACGTTGGATTTGAATCGCAGGAGATTAAAATAATTGTTGAATGCAAATCCCACGATATAAATTTTCAATGATACCCTTTGAAAAAATCAAAATTATAATGAGATTTTCAATATAATGGTCAATACTTTCACAAACAAAAAATGTATAAACTTCTTCATTACATTTTTTTCGTTCTAAAATTATCATAAAAAAGCTGCGGCAGTTAGAAACATTCAGAAATGAACATCCAATTCGTTGATGTCTAAAACGTTGCCTATATACATAGACACAAAAAAATACTTACCATCTTACTAACTTATCTTACAGTTACTCTGCTGANTGACTTGATGAAGAAAATAATTTGCATTGTTGAGAATGGAAAAATAAATTTTAAAAATATTTGATTTTCCACCAAAATTCGGTGTGGAATTTTCTTACCGAATACCATGCGAGGTCGAATTTCCCTCGTCTGCGACTCGGGAAACTTTCAAAATATTCATGAGCTCGGAAATAATTTGACCTCTAGTGGTATTACTAGTAAAAATTTCACATCTTACATTTCCTTACCTTTTCTATCGATTTGAAGTTTTTAGCATTGCGGCGGTGCCACTTCCATCAAAAAGTCCTAGCAACTTTTTTTTAATAGAACACCCCGTAGATTAATGAACACTCCGTATATTAACATCGCTCTTTTATTATAATCCTTTTTTGTTGATAATGTTCTATATCCCTATCGGTTTTCGAGATAGAAAAATTATGTGTGTTAAATATGATCCAAAACATACACGGAATGGTACTTAAGTACATCATGTTATACAAGTTATAAGCTTGATAATTCCACTGCTACCTTATACCAAATTTTTAAAAAAATAATGTTTCCAGAAGAAGTGACTTCATTAAGAAAACTTAATGATTTAGGTATATAGACATGCTATATCATCTTGAAGCATATTTCATCATCTTTCAATTCATTGAGTACCTAATATACAAGGTTTCATTTGGAAAAATAAACTTTTATGCATTATGGAAATAATAGTAATTTTAGCACGCCCTGTATGTAATGGAGTCGATTTGTTGTTAATTAAATATTTCGAGTTTGTCCAAACTATCATCAAAATATTAACTTTTCATGAATTGAGAGTACTGATGCACTTAAATTCAATTAGGGCTATGTTTTGTACCATATTTAGCACAAATTATTTTTTATCTCGAAAACCGATAGAGATAGGTATAGGATATTATCAACAAAAAATATTATAATAAAAGAGCAATGTTAATATACGGGATGTTCTATTTAAAAGGACTTTTTGATGATAATGGCAACGCCGCAATGTTGAAAATATTTCAGATTGATAGAACCGGTAAGGAAATGCCCGATTTGAAATTTTCAAAAAAATCCTGCATTGCGTTCACCATAAAAGTCTAAGCTACCATCGACCGTGAGTCACGCTGTATATACAGGGTGAGTCAACAAGATTCCCTCGGTCCATTGCTATCAGAGGACACAATTTTTCGAACTGCTCATTTTTTTTGCAGTCATATCGATAAATACTATCTTTTAAAATTATTTTCTCGCATACTGTGTGATTCTGCCAAGCGTGGCCAATCAAAGTTATATTTTTTTCAAATAGAACACCAGTATATGAATACGTCATTAGATTCCATATTTTTTTAGCTCTCTAAGGTATTTTTCTTTTCGAATTTCCATTGCGGCATTGCCAAGTTATTCCAGAAAAACCTATTTTTCAGACAATATTTTTTTAAT